TTTTTAGGACAAAACCTTATTTAAATGCAATCACCTTTTTTTTTCAACAATTTGAACATTTGTTTTCTCCATCAATATGTACAAAAATTGTAATATATGTGAACGGTCATATTATTTTATCAGATATGCATATTTTCAAATTGAAATGTTATTTATAAGTATAAAATAAATGAACGTATAATATTTCATAACATATATATAATTTGTTAAAAGAAAGTATGACGGTTTCACACACACACAAAAAAAAAAAAAAAAAACCTTAATGAGCTTTTATCTAGGGTTGAGTTCGATTTGTTTATCAACCGAGCTCAAGCATTCACAAGTCGAGTTCAAAACGGCTCGTTCGGTTTGAAAGTTAACGTAGCAAAATGTAATAAATAGTTCTTTCATTGTTTTCTCAACATCCAGCAAAATGGCATAAATGTGTAAAACCTACTGCTCGTGTTCAAGAAAATGTATTTATTATATGAATTCAATATGACAGCAAAAAAGTGTCTTGGGCCTATTTATTTAAGAAAAATCTAACCTAAGCTATTTTGAAAAAAAAAAAAGATAAAACTACGATTATTCCTAATAAGTCTAATATTTGTTAGCTGGCTCCATTCATGAGGATTAAAATTCTCAAAATGTAATCTGATCTTTTTGCAATCAGGCTTCACTTCAGTAGTATTTTTTTATTTATTTATAAATAATCCAAAATTAAGAACAATAAGTAAATTATTGGTAAGTGGTCCTTCCCCTTTCCATGTACAAAAAGTTTAGTTATTTCAATAGAACAACATTTTTTCACGGGTTAGTGGTGACCCACTGACCCACTAAACAGGGCAATCATTAGATTTTATGAAAAATGGTGTTAATATTTATGGCTCACATTTTCATTTCATTATATATCCTATGGAGATGTTACAGTCCGGTCACGTAACTATTTCGTCAGAGTTTTTAATTGTTAGATCAACTATCTTTAACGTGATGATCTAACAGTTACAAAATCCTAACGAAGTGGTTCCGTAGCGGGATCCTAAAACATTTCCCTTATATCTTGATACGCTCCAAAAAGAAGGGTTGAAATTTGAATAAACCCTTCAAATTCTCTAAAGTACAGTAGAAACAAACTTGCTTTCCTTAATCCTTGTCCTCTTCAAATCCTTCTTCCACTTGCTTACAAATATCACAGCAAAATAAGGGGAAAAAAGATAGCCCATTTGAATTATGTCATTTTCCTTTTACATTTGGGTTTTTTGTCAAGAGTTTTTGTTTTGCCTTTCTTCAAAGCCACACTCTAATCAATTTTTTTCGATAGCTTGGAGGACTCAAAGCTAGTTTGTAGCAGCTCCCGAAGGTTAAGGTAAGTTATAATTGATTTTCTTAGAATTGTTCTATTGTTTTTGTATTTTGCTTCTAGTTGCTTTTAGCTCACGTTGATAGAATTTTGGAAGCCCATTGGGTGGTTATGAGGAAAGAAAGAACAAAAAAAATTGCAGCTTTTCCGTCTTTTTTTGTTATTGTAGTCATTTTTTCTTATCTCGTTGTTCATATTTTGATTTTTTTTGGGTATGAATTTGAAAATTTAGTGATAAAGATTGGAACTTTATTCTAATTTGGGTGTGGGTTTGAAAATTTAGTGGTAAAGATTGTAACTTTATTATAATTTCTTCATGGGTACATAGAAATATATTGTTTGTGATAAAATAATGAGGTCTGTGTTTGAGAAATTTTCTCAAGATTGGCTTTTTAGTTCTTTAAATTCATGGGTTTTTTGTTCTTGGGAAGAAAAATAAAAAGAAAAGTGTTATCCTGTCTCTTTTGCAGTCTTGATGATTTTGTCTTTCAATATTTCATTTTTGTATTAGCTTTTCAAGAGTTGGATTGGGTTATGGCTGGTCCATATATTCACATATAAAGAAGGCAAAAAAAAAAAAAAAAGCATTCAGTTTATGCTTTGCAGTTGTTCATTTTCCTTTGTCATTCAAGTGAACCCCACTGGGTGTCCTGCAAGAATCATTCACTTCAATGTCTGTCCTAAGAACGTAAAAAGCGACTAATTTCTTTATTCAAGTAGTATTAATATAGCTTTTCATTAATTGGGTTCACTTTGCGGGAATGGTTTGTTACAGGATAAGGATATTTTTTAGCTACTATTTGTTTAGCAACCTCCTTTAATGGAGACAATGACTTCGACAGGCTCGATGCAGTTTCCTCGTGAGGCAGCCAATTATGACGAGGTTTCTATGCAGCAAAGTATGCTATTCTCTGATAGTTTGAAGGTATTTTTTTATGGCTCCTTATTACACTTATGTCCGAGATTGTTTTTTTGTTTGTTTGTTTGTTTGTTTGTTATGATTAGCAGTTCCATTTTATTTCATAGGCTCAATCGATTTAAATCTTTTACATCCACATGTTTAATGAATTAGCGACAACGATGGTGAAAAATTTTAAAAATTTTGATTATGTAAGGAAACTTGATCAGTTGTGATTTTTTTTTTTTTAAAGTAACCAAAAATGTCTTAGATTATTAAGGTGATGAGTACATTGCACATATTGTTCTATCTCCTTTTGGTTCAAGGTAGTGAAAAAGAGACAGAGCAGAAATTTATTTTGTTAAAATAAACAACAAACTTATAATAAATCATAAATATCCAATGAAAGTCTGTTGCAAATTTATTTACGTTTATGGTTGGAAAGTTTATATCTTTTATGAGCCTTGAACATGGAACTGAGTCAACTGACTTGATTTATTTTTATATTTCATTTTTTTTTCTTCTGTAGGACTTGAAAAATCTTCGGAAGCAGCTCTACTCAGCTGCCGAGTACTTCGAGTTGTCTTACAGTAATGACGACCAAAAGGACACGTGAGTTTCTTATAGGTTACTGAAGATGTGGACTCGACTTCTCCTGTTATATATCAATTTTAATTTTTGCCTGTAATTATTTCCTTTAATATATATATGTATGTATATATATATATATATATATATAAATATATATTATCTGTTTCACTTTTTGATTGTGTAGAGTGGTGGATACATTGAAAGAATATGCTATTAAAGCTCTTGTTAATACGGTGGACCATTTGGGCTCCGTCACGTATAAGGTCAATGACATGTTAGATGAGAAGGTTGATGAAGTTTCTGGAACCGAGCTTCGTTTGTCTTGCATCCAACAGGTACTTTTTTTGTCTTTATTTTATTATTTTTCTGTAATTGTTTTCATCGTCATTCATTTTTAATAAACCATTATTCATTCATTTTTAATAAACCATCTAATGTAAGGGGTACAATCTAAGTTGCAAATATTGCCTTTTTAGTTCGCTAGCTTTCTCTTATTGTCAACGTAAGGGAGTACTATATAAGTTGCAAATATTGTCTTTTTAGTTCGCTAGCTTTCTCTTACAGTCAACATATTCGAACAAGCTTGAACTAAGCTTTCATTTTCATGATCGGGCAATCATGAAAGTTCATTTGTTATATGACTCAAGGTTTGCATAGTTTCAAGGAGATAAATCATCAATCAACTAAAATTTATTGCCACACTCCCCAATTGTGGAAAATCTCAATACAAGCCCGGCAAAAAACATGTCTCATTTGTTCCGAATTTTGATTTATTTATTTAATGATGTGGTTTAGAGACTGCGTACGTGCCAGGAGTATGTCGATCGTGAAGGTCTCTCTCAGCAGTCATTGGTGATAAACACTCCACATTACCATAAACGATACATCTTGCCAAGTATAATTGATTGCTCAACTTTCGAGTTTATTCTTTTCATAATTTTTTATTTTTATCTTTTCAGTTATTAGTACAAACATATATGATTGCATAAAAAAATCGTCAATGGTTTCTTTGTCTAGTTGGAGAAACTATGCATGGTGCAGTTCGCACCAAATCGAGATATCGAGGACGCAGCTTAGACGATGGAGACGAGTGGCATCGGTTTAAGAACTGTAAAGCATACTATATCAATTTTTTTTGTTTCATTTTTATTTTCTGTTTATATATATACACACACACACACATAATCTTTGAAGTTGTTCATGTTTTCCTTGTTGGTTAATTTCCTTGCAGCCATTCGAGCCACAATTCGTGAAACTCCACCACCATCTATAGTCGGGTGAGAAAAAAAAAATCACTTTATTGCATTTTTAAAATTTATAGGTACCTATTAATGAAGATACTCATCATATCAATTATTGTTTGCAGAAAAGGACCCTCTCCTTCACTCTCACCGAGATTTGCTCAGCAACACGGGAACTTCTCATTCTCTAACAACATGCCGAGTAAAGATTTAGGTTTGTTCATCCTCACCTTTTTTTTTTTAAAAAAAAAAGAGCAAAAAATCTGATTATCTTTCAAAATTGCAAAATACCCCCATCAAAATGTTTACAAACATCCCCTTGTGTAACTGTGTTTATTTATTTCCATCCATCAAGGGTGCAATTTAGAAACAGAAACAAATAACGGGGGCCATTTGTAGTTCTTGATATACATAACTAGGCTTTTTTTCTATCAAGACTCTAGACTATATAATATTTTTTTATTTGTATTTGTATTTTTTTTTTTTTNNNTTTTTTTTTTTTTTGACTAGTGGTGGTGATGTCTGTAATAATTCAGAAAAAAGAGCAACGTCGCCACATCGATTCCCACTTATGCGTTCAGGTTCGCTTTCGATGAAGCCCTCAACTCCGAGAGGCTCGAATTCAAGCACACCAAATCGAACCCGACCGACTACTCCAAACCCTTCACTTGGAAGACAAGCGGTATATAGTACATTTCTGTTTTTTATTTATTTTTATTATTTTTTTTTGTAATTATTGATCTTAATAGTTATTTTGGCTCTGCATTGTTTGAATATGGCAGTATATTTCTGAAGCTCGAAAATCAGCTTCCATGCGGGTCCGTGTCGGGAAGGAAAGTCCTAGAGAAAACGAGCAATACCCGAGCAAAAGCAAACGTCTACTCAAATCTCTACTCAGTCGACGCAAGTCAAAGAAAGATGAAACTTTGTACACTTATTTGGATGAATATTAGTGGAAAACTATCAGAGGCTAAACGAGAAGACCTTCGAGGCATAGTTTTTTTTGGTTCCTTTTGAAATTTGAAAGAAGTGTTTCATCTTTTTTGTTTTTCCTTGTAGGTTTTAGTTTCATGTATTGTCTTCACTTCACCATAAAAGTATACAAGTGTAATTTGTTATATACATTTTTGATTGATATTTGATTGGGGAATGAAACAGTTTACTACTTATGAAGTTCAGTCTATTTGCAAAACACACTAATTATTGTTAAAATTTACAAATAGCTCCTTTTGCTGTAACTTGCATTACATACTAGGTTTGTTAACCTGCCAAATTGACTTGTCTTCTGGATTTTATTGCTAAAATAAAACAACTTGAAAGAATTAACTATATATCAGTGAGATTTTACTGATAGAACTGATGGACAATCCTACCTTTGATGAATGCAATTTTTCACAGCAAATGTCATATAAATATCATACCTTAAAAGAAACAAAAATCAATTTTCACAATAAAGTAGCCATTTTTTTTGTTAAAAAAATATGACAACATGCTAAAACAGCTAAAAGCCCCTTGCCTTTGTAACGATATACATACAAAAAAATTTAAAATGGATCTTTTAAATGTACGATCAATTCATTCAACTAAGTAGTTAAAGTACACATCAATGAAAACTTGAAAATCGTCATAGTCCTATCCCTTGACTAAATTCTTCAATTGTTTTCGTAGCAAGCGTAAGAACATCCACAAAAGCACTGTACGATGCACGGAGGAATTTTGCTTCAACTGCCTCAAAACGACTGTAATCATCAAATGAAGCAAAAATTAAGATCCAAATTTGTCTCATGCAGCAAAAGATTCCGAAAAGCGATAAACTAAACATATGATTTTTCCAAAATAAAAAAGGGAAATCAAACTAGAATAAGTTTCCGAAAGGCAGACATTTTTTCCAAAATCAAACACAAAAAATTGTTCTGATCGAAAATGTTAATTACACGTAAAAGGAACTCACACAGAAAGCTGTCCACCGGAGACTGACATTTCCCTTTTTACCTTATCTGGATGCAACTGTTATCCCCAAAAAGAATAACAAATATCAAAGAGAACTTCAAGAGCAAACGAGCTGCAAAAAAATCAAATATGGATATAGCTAGCAATTCACCTCCTTATCAACGGATAATGCAGCACGAACCATGCGAGCAGTTTCCTCAGAATCATAATTTATCTCTAAGTTGCTGTTTAGCATTAAAGAGAAACAGAAAACAACATGACTAACACAGAATCATAAGAAATCTATCTGACAAGAAAACCAGTTAGGAATGCAGATACAATACAACAATAAGAACTTGGGCAAATTTTTTTCATTTGTTTAGCCAATTGCAAATTGTATACTTCCATATGAAATACACTGCATAAAACTGGACAGTATAAGGCCATATGCAATTCAGCTAGCACTTGCTCCTCACCCAAAGCTTTAATCATAATAACCATATGTGTTCATATATAATATGCATAAAAACAAAAACACTTCATTCTTGAACATGAAACACTTGACAAAATACGAAACTTCAGCGAACACTAGTGCATCAAAATCACAGTCACAGTTCGAGAAAACCGTGCATTATCTTAATTTACCGGCACATACTTTGCCAATCACCTACAGAAACAAAAGGGGTTTTATTTCATTCATAAACACCTAAAATCCAGTAGATGCACAGAACTCAACGGTTTACATAACAGAAAGTCAGTGCCGAAAAATGACATCCAAATTCTTAAAAGAGTTCCGATGATAAACGCAGCCAGCTAATGTTTAATGTTCTGAAATCAATCCCAAATATAGAAAGCGAACAATAAAAAAAAGAAAGCATTTTTACCATATTATAAGCTAATTGCCTTATCCCAAATAGTTCTTTACCTCCCATAGAAGCATATTTCGAAACACCACAGACACACACACACACAC